AGAGGAGAATGGAGGAGAAGGGATTGCGGCGTGGCCATCTCCCTTGGGGGGTGATTTCTCGCTTTCTGTCTCTCTATCTTTTTCTTTCTGGTGAGCGCCTGAGCGTCAATAAAAAAACCAACCCAAAAAAAAAAAAAAAAAAAAAGAATACTAAAGAGGAGAAAAAAAGGACACATCCATCATGAGCAAAACACAGTAGACAACTGACAGTGTGAGTGTGGTTGTCAGAACTTCCAGATCTGCTATCCAGAAATAAACAACTTAGCAAACAAGTTTGATGTTAGTGGGAAGAGTATTCAGTAACAGTGGGCCGATCAGCTTTTCACTCCGTCTGACCTGAGCAGGCAGTACAGTGAAGGGCTGCAAATGGCCAGGACACACGGCAGCACGCGGTCTTATAAGCACTCAGGGAAATTCAAGGTAAAACAAGGAACTTTCAACAAGACAGCTTTATAAAACAAAAATATTTAGAAATAAAACAAAAAGAAAGGGAAAAGAAAAAAGAATAGAAGCAAAGCGAAATTACTGGAATTGATGCTACCTACTGCTGGCAAGGGTGTAAAGAAATGGGTCCTCTTATAAATATGAATTGAAGGAAGCAATTTCACTGCATCTACTAAAATTTTTTTTAAAATCTCCATCATTTTTAATCCAGCAATTCATGAAGGCAGAGCTATGCTTATGGACTAAAAAGATGTCTTGCATATAATGTTAAATGACAAGTTAGTTGCAAAGTAATAAGGGTGGTATAATCCCATTACTATACATCACAATGTAAAACAAACTAGCTGCTATAATAAAGAGTCCAGAGAAGTGGTTTGAACAAGTCAGTAATTTATTTCACTCTTACGTAACAGGTCAAAGGAAGCAGCTGAAATCCGGCAGGCCAACTTCCCCGGGTTTCTCTCTTTCCAGGTGCCAAAGCTGCCACCGCATCCTAGTCAGCCAGGACGGGGAATGTTGGGAGCTTTACTTACGGGCTGGTCTGGAAGTGGTACTGTAGCTGAGCAGCCAGGTGTGCGGGTAAAGTCAGAACTCTAGTAAAGAAAACGGAAGAGAACGGACACAGGGCAGGGTGTTCTGTGCCACTCGTTTCCGTAAATGCATGCAGCCTGCAGAAAGCCACACCAAGACAGCACTGAGCTCGGGGACGGACGAGACAGGGCTCGGGGCGGGAGCCAGAGCACTGCCTGGCGCTTTTCAAGTGATGGTATATTCATGTGTCAACCAAGGAAAGAAAAAAATTTTGGCAAACTTTTAAATTCTTTATTTGCGCTAATATAACGTGTGAAATACAGCAAATCTATCTACATTGCACAAAGCCTGTGAGGTTCCAAACATTCGATTTGATCCAAGTGTGAGTCACTGTACACTGTTAAGACAATCCCACTGAGAGCATTGCGAAGGCCCCCTGAGGGAGGCACGACCTGCCCCAGGTCACAGCGCGAGAGGCAGGGGGAGAAGGCGTGGAATGAGGACCACCTGCTCCTCTGAGGGCCGGTCTTACTTGGAGAAGACCCTCGGCTCAATAAACCTTCCAGTTCAGACACTGCACACGACGCACCAACACTTCACATCCGTGACCTGGATCAGCCCTTCACCCTGAGAACAAGGGGACACAATTTTCTTACAGGCTAATGACTACAACAACAAAAACAGACGCTGAGCTCCCCCAGGAGTGAACCGGTCAAGAGTTTCGACTCCTTTCTGAGCCGAGCACTCAAGTTTAGGACTTAGAACCTGTTTAAAAATCTCTCCTATGTAAGACCCTGGCATTTGATAGAAAGTGGACAAATATGGAAGACTTAATACTAAATGAAGCAGGCCAGACTGAGAGAGTGGCACTGTGTGTCCTCACTTAACACACAGCAAATGTCTGCACTCCATGTAGCAGCATGGAGAGCGACTGTGGACACTAGAGACAGTGTGGGAGGAGGCTGCAGGGAGGGAATCGAGGACAAAACCAGCAAAACATTTCCTGGACACAGAAATGGAAACTTATCTGTTGGTGATAATGTGCATGATAACATCTGACTGGACTGATACGCAGTGTATTCATGCTGGAAAGATTAATTCTGTATGCTATGGAGATGTACAGTGATTAAATGTAAAAAAAAAAAAAAAGGAAAATAATTTTTTTTTAATAATAATAAAAAAAAAATCTCTTCTATGAAATCCAGATAATGAGGGCAAAGTGAAGAAAACACTCAGTCATCAGGAAAAATGTATAACTTTCCCAACAACCCAGTAATATAAGTTTTCTCCCTTAATATATATGAATCAAACTAAGAACAGTAAAAAAAATAATAAGCTAGAATCCACACCAAGCAGGAGATCCTGGCGGCAATCATGACTGACTAGGCTTCCTCCGTCTAAAGGAAAAGAATCCTTGGCCCAAGCTACTTACCAAGATCTCAGAGCATGGATGGCAAACCCCACACTCTCCCAACCAAAGCCACACGCAGCCCAGCTGAGCCCCCAGCCAGACCCCTCCTCGAGTGCAAAGGAGAGCAAACGGAGACACAGGGCCTGGACACAGGACCCTATTCAGGACGAACCGGACATACAGACGCGGCAGGAGAGGGAGGTCGGCGTAATACAGAGCACGCAGGAGGAAGGACGCAGAGAGGACAAGTCCAGGGAACAACGGCCCTGTGCTGGCTGCAGAAGAAACGAAGGACCACAGCGACCTTGAGAAAACGAGACTTGAGAGATGGATGACAAAATAACCGTAAGAAGGGAGCAAGAAAGGCCAGACTAAGGAAATAACCTGAGGCTCAAGGTCACTTCATCACAGAGCCACAAACGCCTCCAAAGTCGGAAACAGAAGAGACTGGCTGGCAACCGAACCACTGCCACAGCAAAGTGTCCTGGCAGATGACAGACCAAGAATAAGCTGGAAGGAGAGGAGGCAGCCCCGAGGAGGGCCACAGAGCTCTGGTACAGCCTGATCAGCACCTTAGCGAAACAAGCCCACAGCCCCCTGCCGGCACGAGGCAAGAGACGAGAGAGACGGGAGAGACGTGAGTCAGGGCCCCTCAGGGTAACGAGGGTCATGCCTGCCTGTTGTCTGAAGTGATGGGGGGGAGCCTGCTTTATGCACTCACTTTTGGTGGTTCTGCTTATTTTTAATTTTTGTTTTAATTGCGAACACTTGGGGTGGGGTGGGGAGGGTAGGAGAAGATGCCCTTTGCTTAGAGGGAAGCCAGGTACACCGAGTGGACTACAGCTTCCCATGACACAAACATTATTTATTGCCAAGTGACTTCATGCTTGCTAATAAAAACACCTGCTGGTTCAGAGTACATTAAAAAGAGGACTATTTAAAGGCAATTAATACGATTTGAAAGGTAGCAAATCTGATCCTTTCTTCGGGTGGCAAACAATAAATCTGAACATCTGAGTTATACATTCAACAGTGCTGTTCTCAGATATTGATGGAGTTATTTCAATAAGACCTGCTTTTAGCACCAATAATTCTTGAGCTCTCCCTGCAAACTTCCGACTGTGGTCCCTGACCACGACTTCTGGATAGGAACAAACACACTCCACGGAGTGACTGCGAGGCCCCTGGCGCCACAATAAAATTCACAGCGCCAAAGAGCCCACATCAGTCCAAGCACTTCCCTTCTCTAGCTAGATTACCAAAACTTTAAGTTTTGGAGAAGAGTTTCTTCCTCCTTGAAGTTTTAGTTACGAGGTAGATGTCTTTCAAAGTAAATGTCAAGTGCAGACAACTTCGGTCAATGCCATCTGATAACTACTCATCAGATTAACTATCCAATTCCCATTAAAAAAGTGACCTGCAAGTTTAGGAACAGCACTGCTCAGCAGTATTCCGGCTTGAGTTTCCAAATCCCCTCACCACTAGAAGCTCTATGAAAAGTGCACAGATTCCGTAAGAGTTCTCGGAAGACGCAAGACTGTGACGCGGACAACCTGGATTCGAACTCCTGCAGGATCTCCTGTGTGCTGGCCTGGCCATCAACGTGGGCCTGAAAAGCAATGAAGTTTCTCATTTCCACCAGAAGGTCATCATGTTCTGTGCAGGAGGGCAGTGGGGCAGAAGACTCTGGAAGGGGCCCGTCTTCACTTTCTAAACGCTCCGGCAGAATCAGGTGGTTTCTAGCTCTCATTTTGGCCAAGAGCGAGGACGAGGTGAGCGCCCCAGTGCAAGGTTCTGCGTCTTCTGCTCTTCCACTGAAATGCTCCTGGGCACTGGCCTTCCCCTCCTTTTTTGTGATGCTATCCTGGAGAAAGAATACCAAGGCAGTGATGGGTCCAATGTCCAGTTTATGCCCGACGCACTTCCCCAGAGGTTCTAAGGGCACAGAGTAACATGCATGCCCGGGCAGGAAGACTGACGGGGCAGGACGAGACCCCACCTAACGCGAAGGGAGCAGAGGGAGCCCACACTGAACCTACCACCGTTAGAGCGTTTCTCAAACTAGCACATACAGAGAAAGGAAGGACAGCTGAGCCAGTCCCTGGGTCACCATTCTGAGTGATGGCAGCAGAGGGCAGGCCAGTGGAAGGTCTGGCTTCCAGACAAGGTTCCTGTCTCTCTGAGCCCAGGACCACTGTCGGTACCTATAGATTCTCCTGCTCTTCCTCCCTAAGACCCACAGCTGGTGGGACAAGAAACATCACCTCTCTCCTGCTTGTTCTTCCCCTTTAAGCTTCCCAACTTTCCCACCTTGCACCTCATGGGAGTTTCTTTAAAATATCACCATAAATCTACCTTCAGAAGGTTCTCCAATCCCTATGCTAACAACACAACGTGGAACATCAGAAAGGTCTTTATTCCTAAACAGGTTTCCATATTAATACAGAATCAGGGTCCAGCAGATGGTGTAATGGTTATGGCACTGGAGTCCCATGTAGTTGACCGTGGTCGAGTCCTGGACCCGGTGGCTTAAAGCTCATGCTGGGTACATGTGTGTGTTTGTGTGTGTGCCCAAAACCTGAGAGGAAAATGGAGGAGAAGGGATTGCAGCAGGACAATATCTCCTGAGGGGTGATTTCTTGCTTTCTGTCGCTCTGGGGAGTGTAAGCGCCCTCTAGCAAAGATCTCTCAAAAAAAAAAAAAA